TTATTTTTAATGTATTTTCAAAATGTTTTCCAATGGATTAGTTATTACTCACAGAATCAGACAAAAATTAAGCCCTGAATTCTAAAAACCCTATACTGAAGAGCACAATTTTTTTTTTTAAACTTGATTGAAGTTTCAGTCCTACTAAGAGCAAACGGGCCTAAATTTTCCCAATAAAGTGCCAAAAGTGAAGGTGTGGGTATTCGTACCCATTTTTGAAGTGTTCACACATCCTAGCATATTACCTGGAGAGGAGCCTTGCTCAGCTGTCACGTGCTGGTCAAGATTCCTTGTTCAAACCCTGTGAATGACACTGGCTTTTCTCAGTTCCAGACCACAGGAAAGCCCTAACCCCGGTGGCCTAAACTCGGCACACGCATGAAGTGTGTTCCCATTCCCCCGGGCAAAACTGTGAACACTACACACAGTGTAGGTGCTTCCAAAGGGAAACAGAGTCTCCAGAATTCCCTGGTGCACATTCTCATCTTTCTCACTTGTTGTCCATCTAACTGACCTCAGCTCGAGTGACCCTCCCTTTAAAACCAAGAGAGGACCCTGCCTCTCTTGGTTTTAAAGCACACCATCAGGTAGGTGTTGGTGCTTGTTTTGGACTCAAAAAGAACCTCCAAGGTAACGATAAGCATGATTTGCTCAGTTACCCCTACACAAGAAAGAAATCACTGAGCTCGGTGTGGTTTGAAATTCTCTGTAATACCACTTTCCTGTGCCCACATCCCATGAGAGTAAGCAGTGAAGACTTTTAAACTGAAATGTGCTAGATTGACTGTTAGCCAGAATTTCACATCAGAACCACCAGGGGAACTTTCCCCAAGTGTACAAGCCTGGCCTCCTGCCTTGATCTCTCACATCACAGAGGGTTCCCAGGAGGCTGCTTTGGGCATGTGTATTTTGAGGGTGCTCCCCAGTCAGGTTTGGTGTTTGCTGATCGTTAGGAAACGCTGTAAGAGGAAACGCCTGCAGTTACACAGGCGGCCTGGTCATAGTCAGGGGTATTGGGGCTCATCCCACCTTCACCCCTCTTTTGGTCAGTGGGCAGCTTACTAGTGTGCTGAGGAGGCAAGCAGGTTTCCAGGAACTGACCCATGTGCCTTAGGTTCTTGTCATCTGTGCCTTTGCTGATCTCATCCTTGACTCCTAAAGCTGGTCAGGGACCAAAAATGCAAATGTTCAACAATAATTAACCTCTCTGGGCAGCCCAGCTTGTGGCAACCTCAGCCTGGGGGCCCCTTGCAAAGGCTCCAAGCAGCCCCAGCAGGGCTTTCTGCAGACCACCCCCTTCCGTGCAATATTAGGGCTCCTCCAGATCCAGAGGGACATGGAGGGAACACAGGGGTGCTTGCAGGAGAAGGGGACGTGCCATAGTCCCAGAAGGCAAGTGGTGTTACTGAAATTTTGATGAAGTTGATGATGCTTCTTTTGAGCAGCTACCACAAGATTGTCTGCATGACAGACATCAACAGCTAACCTTATTTCAGGAGTTGACCTGCAAACCTCAGAGTTAATCCAATCATTTAGGTTTTTACCGAGAACTGCAGTGTTTAATCCTCCACTGGGTACTACTGGAATGAGGGTGAAAAGGAGAAGCAGAGGAAGAACAGGACAGACCTGCTTTCCCTGATCAAACTAGGGATGAACCAGGGGCAGCCCCATCTAAGACACTCAGAGTGCCCGCCTGAGCTTGGGTTTTCCAGGGATAGAAGCTGAGAACAGCACCTTGGTTATCAACTGGATCTAGCTGGTTAGTTGGTAACCCCCGTTAGAACCATGTTTGCCTTGATCATATAACTGGAGTCACTCTCCTTAGGCAGACTCCAGGGGCCAGACAAACGCTGGGGAACTTCAGAAGTTCTTGCCAAGACTGAAGGCAAAAAAGCTGAAGATAGCCATGCTGGTGTTCCTTAAGTAATATAGGTCAAGCTCTTAAGTTTTGGATGGTCTCATCAGACAATCCCATGGACGGAGGAGCCTGGTAGGCTGCAGTCCATGGGGTCGCTAGGAGTTAAGACACGACTGAGCGACTTCACTTTCACTTTTCACTTTCATGCATTGGAGAAGGAAATGGCAACCCGCTCCAGTGTTCTTGCCTGGAGAATCCCAGGGATGGGGGAGCCTGGTGGGCTGCCGTCTATGGGGTCGCACAGAGTTGGACATGACTGAAGCGACTTAGCAGCAGCAGCATCAGACCAAATCACCTCCCTCTGCAAAAGTAGCTCGTTGATCCTGACAGAATGGCTGGAGAGACTCTGTTGCAGGGTGACCTGGAGAAGGCCACCAGCTTCTCTGTGCCTTTGTGTCCAGCAGCCTCCTGAGAAAATGAGCTCTGGGAGGGACCGGAGGAGGACTGCTATTTTGCAAGGGCCATGGGATTGTACCATCTCCTGTCAGTGCAAGGGAAGTCCCCTTAGTTCTTACTGATCACCAAAAATGTGGGGCCTCCAAGTCAGACCCTGCCTTGAGGCCTGGGGACACGGCAATGAACAAGGCCACATGAGCTAAGCCTCTCCGGGGACTAAGAACTTTGGCCCTTGCGACTCTTGCAGAGTGTCTCCTCCAAGTGAGCTGAGAGAGATTTGTGGCAGCTTCACTTCCTGTCTGCATCTAGCAGGGCAGGGGGTTGCTTCCCTTCACAGAAGCAGATTGGGCACAGAGGCCTCTTGTGTAAAACCAGGCTCCAGGCCCCCTTCTAGACAAGCTCTGCAAGGGGCATCCCCAGGGACCAGTGGCCACCTGCCCAGGACAAGTGAGCCAATGCTTCTAACAACTCTCAACTGTCACATGCATAGTACACTCCTTTCCTGCCACACACTATGTGGACATCCCTTCTGGGATGGCTTTTCTTTGCTTCTCTGTGTTTTTAAAAAACAAAACGTCATTGTAAAACATGGAATAATGCAGCTTCTTCTGAAGCAGGATGGGCTGCAGGTGCTCACTGCACATTTCCCATTTCTGAAAATCCCCAGTCCCAAGCCTTCCTTACCCAAAGTGGAAGAGGGGGGCAGCTGATGGCCTTGGAGGGAGGGGCTTTCCAGGGAAGGAGATAAATAGTCACAGGAACCTCTGTCCAGGCACTTGGACACGGGACAACATAGCAAAACTGGGACTGGGAAATTCCTGCTGAAAAGGTCACGGTCAACAGCTCCAGCCATGAAATTAGAAGCTGCTTGCTCCTTGGAAGGAAAGCTATGGACAAACCTAGAGAGCGTACTGAAAAGCAGAGACACGAATTTGCCAACAAAGATTCGTCTAGTCAAAGCTATAGTTTTTCCAGTAGTCATGTATGGATGTGAGAGTTGGGCCATAAAGAAGAAAGTGAAAGAGTGTGAAAGTGTTAGTCCTTCAGTCGTGTCCGACTCTTTGGAACCCCATGTACTGTAGCCCACTAGGCTCCTCTGTCCATAGAATTCTCCAGACAAGAATACTGGAGGGAGTTGCCATTTCCTAAAGAAGTCTGAGTGCCAAAGAATTGATGCCTTTGAATTGTGGCGCTGGAAAAGACTTTTGAGAGTCCCTTGGACTGCAAGGAGATCAAACCAGTCAATCCTAAAGGGAATCAACCCTAAATATTCAATGGAAGGACTGATGATGATGCTGATGCTGAAGCTGAAGCTCCAATCCTCTGGTCACCTGATGAGAAGAGCTGGCTCATCGGAAATGACCCTGATGCTGAGAAAGATTGAAGGCAAAAGGAGGGTAACAGAGGATGAGATGGATAGATAGTATCAGTGACTCAATGGACATGAATCTGAGCAAACTCCCGGAGATAGTGAAGGACAGGTGTGCCTGGTGTGCTGCAGTCCATGGGGTCGCAAAGAGTCGGACATGACTGAGCTACTGAACAACATCAGCTCCCAAAGGAGGCACACCCCCACCAACTTCCCAACTCTGCATCTGCTCCATTCCAACCTGGGCCTCAAGGAGACCGAGGTGACGGAGACACTGACCAGAGAGGTGGGGAGAGGGCTGCTTGCATCCCCGGGCTTCCATCCCTGACTCGAGTGCCAGGGACTTCAGCTCTCCAACGAAGAACCTCGCTCAATTCACCCACTGCTGAGTGCTTCACAGCCTCACTTTTCTCTTGCGTGATGATGATACAATCCTAGGATCCACCTCAATGAGATGCAATGAGAACTACATGACACAGCACATTTAAAGTGCAGAGAAAAACAGTATCACTGTCTCTCAACACGGGTTCGTGAGTTCTTCCAGAATGGCTCTTAAATGCTTTCGAAAGTTTCAAAAGTGTCCTGACCTTCCAAAACATGAAAATGTTTTCACCCAAGTAATGAGGGTCAGCAAGGCAGAAGTCAGCCTCCAGTTACAGAGCCTCCCTCCTCAGCCAGAGCGGAGCCAGCGTGGCCCTGGGCAACCTGCAAAGCCAAATTTGCGGCTCAGCCTAGGAGCCAAATCCCTGCTTCTTTCTGGATGAAGACATTCCTTCCTGGGCACCCCCCATTGCTCATCTGCCCACATCATGCACAGGCTGCAGCCTTTCCGCAGGCGGGACCCTGGCCTTCAGAACAAGGTCTAGTTTCTCCTGCTGAACAAAATGGCACTGGGGAGCCAGCCTCTCTGAGCCTACATGAACCCAAAGCCTCCTGGAGCTCCGAGGGGAACCTGGATTCCTGTCGGCTCCCACTCACCTCCCCTGCCCAGGCAGGGCCTGCAAAGCAGTGCTTGGTTCGGCCTGCCCCCCAGCTATGCGGCCCCCGGAGCCTGCTTCCCTCCCCCACCCCCACCCCTCTCTGCTCACCCGGGGTGTCCTGAGGACCCGGGCGGCGCCGATGGAGGGGGGCCAGAGGACAGGTGCCTCGCCCAGCGAGTGTGCGTCAGGCCAGCTGGGAGGGCGGGGCTGAGGTGGAGGAGCTCCGGGGACAGCGGGAAGGGAAGGGGAAATGGAACCTTCTCCAGGGCTGCCCGGCCCCTCTGGAGCTCTTTCTCTGGGCTGCACAGGAGACCCTGAAGAGAGTCACGCTGACAGAATGGTCGGGGCCCTGCCGCTTCTCTTCACATCCTTGCAGGAAGACTGTGGCTTCTTGAAGCCTGCCTGTGCAGGAGAATTTTGCAAATTGCCCATGGCTTTGTCACCTGTGGGAAACGACACAGGCCATCTTACAAACCAGCCTGCTTATCAGGTGACTGGAGCCAAGAAGATTGCAGGCCTGGGGTGGGGAAATCCTATCTTGCATGGCTTCCTTCCTTCCTCCCTCTGACTGGACCTCACAGGGGTGGGGCAGCCTTTCTGGACCTGGCACCCAGGCTGATGGGCTCCCGGCCAGGCGTCCAGAGGACACCCTTCCTGCCACCTGGCTCCTTCTTGTCTTCCTGGGGGCACAGGGAACCTGAGGTTCCTGCTCTGGAGACTTACGTGGAAAACACCTGTATTTGCAGGCCTCAAAACATCCTGCTCCAGCCTGGCTTCCTGCGAGAAGCCGAGGAATAACGTTGGTTAGGAGCATTCCAGTCTGGCTTTGGACTTCATGGAGCATGTCCTGCTGCCAAGGCTCTTACCAGCCTAGGACTGAACAGTAGGCAACGCAAAGGTGCCCATGAATGTCCTCCCTCAAGGCCCTGGGCCCAGCAAAGGACTATATTCATCAGTATGAATCCTGCCTGTGAATGTCTGCACCTGAGCGTTAATAGTGACAAATTTAAAATCTTGATATGCTGGTGGAATGCTGCTTGATTTGTTTAAACAAACATGGCTCGTTTTTTTATTTTTTCAGATTCTCAGCCTATTTTGGAGGGTTGTTGGACTTCCTTTATATGCAGAAAACAGGTCTGCCTTCTCTCACTTCCTAATGGCCTTTGCATCCTGGGCTTCCCTGGTAGCTCAGTGGTAAAGAATCCGCCTGCAATGCAGGAGAGGTGGGTTTGATCCCTGGGTCGAGAAAATTCCCTGGAGGAGGAAATGACAACCCACTCCAGTATTCTTGCCTAGGAAATCCCATGGACAGCGCAGCTTGGAGGGCTACAGTTCATGGAGTCACAAAAAGTCAGGTATGACTGAGCGTGGTCCACGTCCTATGCAATGAACACATCACCCAAGCCCATAGTCAGGCCAGTTCCCAAGAATAAAGAGAAAGGAGGGAGGCCTGGTCTCCATTCCCCTCCCCTTGAAGTTGTCCAGCTCTGCTGCTCCCAGTGTCTGCCTGCCCACCCCCAGCACTCAGGGCCTGCCTGGAGCCCAGCGCCCCTCCCCGGGGCGGCTCAGGAGCAAGGGTGCTGTGGGAATTTTCCACCTGACTCTGCAGCCGGTTGGCTCCTCCTCAGATCGTTATCCTGGCATGACACCAGGCGGGTTGGGCAACCTTTCCTGCAGGGCCTGGACCTGCTCAGCCCAGGCTTACGCTCTGCAGATTGCAAGGGCAGGAGTGGGTTTCGGGCCCCAGGTACCCTGCACCCAGCCTCAGACCAAGGCCTTGTTTCCGGCCCCCCGCCCCCGCCACCTGCAGCCTCTGCCCAGGCCTGTTTCCTCCTAGCTTCCTGCTCTCTTATTTCCTTCGGCTTTCCCTCTGGGCGGCTCCCGACTCTTCCAAAAATCCCCTCCAGGAAATTTGCTTGTTGCCACAAAATAATGCAAATGTGCTCCTGAGGCTGCCTGAGCCACAGCGTTCTCTGCCTTCCAGAGACCTGGAGAGGGAGGAAGAGGCAGGTCGGCGGCCCTCGGTGCCCCCTCTCCAGACACCCCGACGGGGACAAGAACAAGCCGCAGTCACCGCAGGGCCTGGGGACCAGACGAAGCCTTGGCCCACTGTCTCAGGGAACCAAGCTCAGCCAGAGAAAAGCCACACAAGACCTTCAGATGCTCCCGGGCCCTTTCTGTCTAGTAATAGAAAAAGTTTGTGTTCATGTTCAGCGTTTGTTTATCCCTGTTTATCTGATTCAAACTCCTTGCCCTGTCAGCAGCAGAAAGGGAGGACATGGGACAGACACCTCCAAGCCCCACAGTCCCGGGGGGTGCCCAAGGTGGGGCCGGAGGAGGGCAACGAATCCTGGCTGGGTGGTGTCTGGGGGCCGTGCCCTGACCTACACCCCTTGGTCACAGCCAGCGGCCTGATGCCCTGCACCCCAGGGGCACGAGGCAGGAGTGAGGCCTGCCCTCTGCAGAGGAGAGTGGGGGTGGGGTGGGGGCCACGGGAAGTGTCCGGGGCAGAATCAAGTGATGCCCAAAGGCTCTCAGTGGCCTGACCCCTCAGTTCTTCCCGCCCCTCCCCTCATCACCACTTGGGGTCGCGGGGCTGAGAACGTGGCCGGTCCCCAGCTCTCCTCTCCTGCGGCCGCCGCCTCCGTGATGCCGCCTGCTTGCTCAGGAGCGGAGTGGGATCCCAGGGGCTCTGGCTCCTGGTGCAGCAGAGGTGGTGGGAGCACTCACCTACCGCCTCCTGTGTACCAGCCCTCAGACCAGCGCCACGGATAAACTCTACCCCAACTCTCTCAGTAGCAATCCCATGAGGTAGATGTTTTCATGCCCATTTGACATGGGCTCCTGAGGTTCAGAGAGATGAGCGAGGTCACACCGGTGGTAGGTGGTGAGTCAGAGCCAGGCTGTTTGCAATGCAACGGCTGTGGAGTCTTCCCTGGTTTCGGGGCTGCTGCCAACCAGAAGATGCAGCCCTCGCCTTGTGAAGGCCAGCACATCCAGTCTCACCCAGCTCCAAACGCCAAGTCCCATAGAGTCTTTGCACCTACAAAGGGGAGCCCAGGGACTCCCTGGATGCCCCTCGAAGAGACAGGTTTTGAAAACTCGGCTTTCTGGATTGGCCTGGGACTGACTGGATAAAAATAACAGGGCAATGAGAAGTCCCTGGCAGTCTAGTGGTTAGGGCTTGATGCTTTCACTGCCCAGGGCCCAAGTTCAATCCCTGATTGGGGAATTAAGTTCCTGCAAGCTATGTGCAGCAGCCAAAAAAAAAAAAAGAGTAACATAAAGTAGGTGAAACGGTCCCATGTTCACCTTGGGTGTGTGTGTGCTGTCTCTTCAGTCGTGTCCAACTCTTTGTGACCCTATAGACTCCTCCCATCAGGCTCCTCTGTCCATGGGGATTCTCCAAGCAAGAGTACTGAAGTGCTGGAGGGGGTTGCCATGCCCTCCTCCAGGGGATCTTTCCAACCCAGGGATCAAACCCTTCATCTCTTACGTCTCCTGCATTGGCAGGGGGATTCTTTACCACTAGTGTCACCTGGGAAGCCCATTTTCACCTTAAGCCTCCAAATTAGGACATAGACCAAATGAGGTATAAGGCCTAATAAGAAGCAAGCCACGACAATTGTGCCTTCTGATTTCAAGAAAGAATTGACCTCAGGTTGGATAAGTTATGTTTATCCTTGTGGCCCATTATGTGGCTCTCACCAGGCAAAGGCCAGAAGGGGTTTAGGGCTCTGGGGCCAAGCCTATAGGCCTGTGGCCTTTCTGCCTTCAGGCCCTGCAGCCCTCGGACTGCAGGTCAGATCCCAGGAGACAGGCTACCAGAGAAGATGAGTTACTTAACTGAGGCCTGAAAGCTTTTGAAATGAGGCTCATCTGCCCTCAAACAAGCACTGTGTGCCTGTGACCCTGGAGAGAGGGCAATGTCTTTGACCTGCCCAACATCCCCCACGGGACTGCTTCATCCTCTCTTGACCTTCTCACCCCCCGGGCTGCTCACCCCCCACCTGCCGTATCTGTGGTCTAACAGCTGTGGAGGGTGAGCAGAGACGTTAAGCCCTGATGCCTCCAGGTTCTTAGCAGCTGGGAGCTCTCTCAGCTGCCTGGTGGTTCCCGCCTTTCTTCTGGAATGTTCAGCTGACAACATCTCTATCAGCTGTGAGTGCCAAGAGGCTGAGGACTGACAGGTAGGCAAAATGCGTTTCAGCCTTGGCTTGCCAGACCGGTAGACCACCGCAAATCCTCACGTCTGCTTTGTTTGGGCTGTTTTCCGGTTGGGAAAAATGTTACTGAGAGTATAGGGGTGGGGCCTCTCGAGACTCTAGGGTCTAGAGTCTGTCTGTCGGCACGCAGATGGAGCCAGTGGGGATGGCAGGGAGAAAAAGACCCCTTCTGAGAATTTGTGGCAGAGTGGGGTATGGAACTGATAAGGATCAAAGGACAAGTCCTGGGCTCTTGGGTGTTGCCACGCCCAACCTGGTGGTTCCCGTGCCCCAGTAGGCCCCACATCCAGGGCTTTGAACCCTACATCAGAATCGCCTGGGTGCTTGTTACAGTTGCCTGATGCTGGGTCCCAGCCTAGATGTTCTGGTCTCAGAGGAGAGGAGGAAGGACAGGGACTGTGGCTCCCAGCCCCCCTGCCCAGGTGACTCAATTTAGGAACCATCACCCTGTGTGCTCAGGCCGAACCCAGACCAGGGGCAGCTCCACACACACAGCCTGTTTCCTCTTCCCTGGAGGCTCCCCCACCCTTGGATTTCTGGGTTAAAGGCCAAACATTCCGGAAAAGCAGCATTTCTCCTGGTGCTCTCCGCAAAGGAGCCAGTGGCTAGACCTGAGAAGCAGCCCGTCCTCGCAGGAGCCCCTCTCCAGAGTCTTCCACCCTTGTAACCCCACCTGGACCCTGCCCCGCGGGCCTCAGGCCAGGTTGTCAGCATGGGAAAGCCCCGCTGGAGCCGCAGAGGTGGCGGAGAGGAGGTGCCACCTCCCCACCTCCCCTGGGGGTGCAGCTGGCACCCCAGGCCGAGGCCTCCCCACCTTGGGGTGCCCGCTGAGCCCCATCCCGCGGCACCCGCCCCCTCCTGCTTCCTCCTCTGCACTCAGAGCCCGGGACGCCTGCTCTGGCCAACCTGCAGACTTGGATTCATCTTTCAAAACCAACCTCCGCCCCCTCACCTTTTCTGCTAACCCTCCTGCCAAGCTGAAGAGCCCTGATGTTCCCTTCCCGTGGGGAGATAGCACGTCCCTCATGTCCCTCACGCTGTGTCAGCACGCAGAATTCCCCTGCAGGCTCGCCTCTGTGAGCAGCCACAGGTGGGAGTACGTGTGCGGGGAAGGTGATTCTTAATTGGGCTTGTGGTCTGGAGGTAGTTGAAAGCTTCTTTTTTGCCCCTCCTAACAAGGATTTGGGTGGGTTTTCTATTATCTCATTTCAGAGGTGAAGCAAGACCAGCTCAGTCACACCTTCCACACTTCAAGTAGGCTCATGGCTCTCGACTTTGGCTATTTCCTCCCTCATATTTATTGCCATTTGCCATGATTTTGTTGGTTTGCTTTCTCAGTTTTTTGGTTTTCCAGAGAGTGAGTGAGGACAGGATGCATTTGCTTCCCCACTGAGTCTTCAGACGCGATGGCGAGTGAGAGCCAGGAAGTGTTCACTGAATGTTTGTTGACTGAGTGCATAGGCCTTTGAGATTAGCGTTTGTAAACTTAAACATGTTTGTGAATTGTGTAAGGATAGGCATGACTTTAAGTCATTGGTCCTACCCAGCAGACTCACTTGACAGGTAATTTAGCCTCGTGGTCTATATTTTCCAGGTCAGACGCAGGTACCACAGTGACTCTTGACCCTACTTCCACAGGCTCGCCCCTCATGCCAATTGTGTGTGACTCAAGCCACTCAGGATGAAATATGATTAGTTAGGAGGTGACCTGCCACAGTGGCCGAAGTTAGCTCACAGGTAGGGAAGGAATGGGGCTTCCTTAGTGGCTCAGTGGTAAAGAATCCGCCTGCCAATATAGGAGACGTGGGTTCAATCCCTGGGTCAGGAAGATCCCCTGGAGAAGGAAATGGCAACCCACTCCAGTATTCTTGCCTGGGAAATCCCACGGACAGAGGAGCCTGGTGCGCTACAGTCCATGGGGTTGCAAAGAGTTGGACATGACTTGGCAACTAAACAACAAGTGGAGGCTGTGGAAGCACACAGCCCGGGGTGGGGTCTGGGCTTTCTCACCCAGGGACCTCAGGCTACTCAGTCAACCTGCCACTCACCTCCTAGGCTGAGAGCTCACCCCAGGAGCCTGACGTGCTGAGGACCAGGCCAGATGTTTAGTCCTGAAAGTGCCACACTGGCCTCGGGGGATGGGTTGCTCAGTGTCCAGGGCTCCTCTCTGATTAGTAACCCCCTCTGACCCTGACCCATGAGCATCAGGCACCAGCCGGCACAGGGCCTTTGTGAATTTGGAATAAAGGCGACCCCCCCCACCCCCCACCATCCAGATGGTCACAGCCCAACCCCCGCTGGATGGGCCCCCACGCATACCTCCGCCCACACCTGCATGGCTGTACACAACAGTCCTGACCTCAGGAAAGTCCCCAAGATTTGTCGGAAAAGGAAAGGCGGACAGTGCATTCTCCATCAGGCCCCTTCTCCGGGCCTTCCCCAAGCATTCCATTCCATCTGGCTTTACCATATCCCAGCTGGGTGGATCTTGGGCTACCCACCCCCCAAGCAGGACCCTGGGCCCTGGAGGGTGCCGGACCTGCCCCATGGCCCAGGATTCAAAGTGAGGTTCCTAGTTGGAACCAGGGACTGGTCGGACTGCCCCACCCGGCTCCCCTTCAAGGCCTGGCTCCGGCTCCTGCCCACACCTCCCCGGCCTCTGTCCCCACACCTCCTAGCAGTGTTTACCACACAGGAGGCCCGGCGAGCCAGTGAGCTGGGAAACTCCCGGCCACCTCCAAGCCACGGCCGCCAGCTGAAATATAATTAGCCTGCCGCTCCCACAGAGGCGACACTGTGTGCTTGCCAGGCCCCTGCCTTCTGCAGCGTGTTGGCAGCCACCCAGGATAGGCGAGCCTCCCAGTCTGCCTTCACTGGGGGGAAAGGAAGAGCTGAGAACAGATGGAGAAAGGGAAACAGAGCCACGTCGGGGAGGCCCGAGCTCGGGGCTGCGTCCCGGAGCAGGCCTTGGAGTGGCTGTCGCTCCAGAGTCACCCCCTCGTCCCTCAGCCATCCCAGACCCTGTGCAGGGTGTAGGTGGGGAGACGCCTCTCTGGGCATCTCCGGCCAGCAGCCGCCCTCACTGGCCGAGGGTTTCTACAACAGAAGCGTCCTGGGCCGTTGGGGAAACTTGGCCGCAGGGTCCTCTGCTGGTCCGGATGAGGTGTTTCAAGTGGTTTTGCTTTTGAAGAACCTGCTGCCCAGCACTTCGAGGGCCTCCCCTGCCCCATGCCTGTCCCAAGACCTTCACTGGCCCCGTTCTCCTCCCCACGCCACCCTAACCCACCCCTGGCTCCCACCTCCTTGCTGCTGGCCCCAGGCTCCTGTGGCCAAGCAAAGCTGCGCAGGCCCTGGCAGGCGCATTGCCCTTGACCCTGGAATGATTCCAGGCTCTGCTGAAACTCTGGAAGGCAGGCAGAGCCAGGGGTTACTCTGAAGTCCAAGCCTCCAGTAACAACCTGTTTAAACAGAGCCAGGACCCCATGGGCCCACCCTCCCAATCCTCAGCCTGTCTTTGGTCCACGGAAAAACTTTAGCCAAAGAATAAGTTTAATCAGAGAGGTGAAGAAACAAAGGAAAACTATCAAAGATCAGATACTAAGCAAAGTCAAGGACCTTTTAGATCCTTCTCAAGGGTTACAGATAATATTCCGAGCCATTTCCTATGAGCTGTCCTATATAGACTGAGCGCCCCACCAGGTGGAAGAAGTTAGCTCTATGATGACCAGACTGTAGCTGGGACATTAGCTGCCATAGTTCCCAGAACTGGCCTCAAGGAAATGGGAACACAGCAACCCTGGAAATAAAGACTAACTGTATTTATGCTGATCAGAGCACCAATGACCAATCTCAAAATAACTGTCAGAGCTGACTGTGCTGTTTCAACATGTAGCCCTTCCATCAGTCTGTGAAAACTCTAACCCACTGATTGTCAGTGCAGGGGGATTCAATCAGCCTTTGGACAAGTCTCCACCGTCCCCCCCAGTTGCCAGCATCCAAAATAGTGCAAACTTTCCTTTCCACCAACCTTGCCTCTGTATTGGTTTTTGAGCAGCAAGCAGCCAAACCCCACTTTCAGTTATACTGGCACTCCCAAGCAATGACACTAAACCTCTGGAGGCCCCCAGTATACACCATCTCCTCAAGTTTCCCCAAGGACCATGCCCTTCTTAGAGAAACACTGGCCTGTAGCTCATTACTTCAGTGCTTATGCAGAAATGAACAGGAGCAAACCCTTCCCACTGTTGGGGGCAGCTGGGGACGGTCATGGGGTCCAGCTGGGTTCTGCCTAGGGTCTCCCCTCCTGCAGCCAGAGTACCACAACCCACGCAGGCAGAATCTTCAAACCCTCTGAGGTAGGAGGACCCACCACCGTTTCTTTTCTCCTCCCCAGCCATCCAGCCTGAAAGTAAAGGCCCATTGGAAGGTCAGAACTTCTGGCACTCTTGACCCCATGTGCATCATAAACCCTTAACACAATGGTCTTTCCTGTAAGGGTTCATTGAGGAATTTACTGCTAGAAATCTAGGTAGTTCTGACAGTTCACAATATGTTGTTGCTGTTTAGTGGCTCAGTTGTGGCCGACTCTTTTGTGACCTCATGGACTGTAGCCCGCCAGGCTCCTCTGTCCATGGGATTTTCCAGGCACATATGCTGGGATAGGTTGCCATTTCCTTCTTCAGGAGATCTTCCTGACCCAGGGATTGAACCTGTGTCTCCTGCATTGACAGGCAGATTCTTCACCACTGAGCCACCAGTGACATCTTTATCTCCTTCAAACGTTCATTCCTTGACCATCATTTCTAAGGACTCTGCACACTTTTCATTTCTCTCATTCTCCACACCACTGTTTAAATTATATTAGATAACTGGAGAATCCCATGGACAGAGGAGCCTGGTGGGCTACAATCCATAGGTCGAAAAGAGTCAGACACTACTGAAGTGACTGAGCAGATATTTGTTCATCACGTATCTTCTACCACAAGAACGTACATTCCATAAGAGACCTGTTTTCTGCTCACTGGGATTTCTGCCCCTCCTCCCCCACCCCTCTCCTGCACAGTGCGTGGTGCGTTAACAGGTGCTCCATACATGTGTTGAGTGAATGAAATGCCCGTGGTTTAGCCCCATCCTCTCTGCCAGGAACAGGTGTTCATCCTTTGATCACTCAGGAGGTTCATTTGAAAATTAGCACTGAGGCTGCCTCAGGCAAGGGGCTTGACCCCTGGGCCCGAGGAGCAGCCTGATGCTCACACGTATCATAGATCATCCACGTGATGCGGGAAGGGGCTGCTGACCACTTGTCTACATTCTTGCTGATAAAGGTCCCATCTGGCCAGCACTGGCTTTGCAGACCAGAATCAGAAGCTTCCTGCGTGGCCCCTCGCCCTCTTTCCCGGCATGCCTTCTGTGTGCGCCAATGGTAGGCTGGCTACTTCCTCTATGGTTTGCTTTCTCCCTGATGTCCAGTTCTATTTGAACTTAGACACCTGAGGCAGGACAGCAGAGAGCAAGGGAGAGATGATCTAGAGTCATCTGGGGATGATTCCCAGTGCTGCCTCCATCCCTCAGGTTCCAGCACAGCAGGACGGTGGCGGGTGGTGGAGAAGTTCTCCATGGGGTATCCTGGAAATATGCTGAGAGACACAAAACCACGTCTGGACAGGTGTTCCTGCCAGGGTCCGCCTGCGTAGAAGTCCCGAGACTGTAAGATGGTAGCTTGATGCTACCAACTAGCCACTCAAGACAGGGAAGAGCCTCTCCCTGGAAACAGCGCCAGGATCAGAGGAGGTGACAGTGCTGTGGCCTTGGTCCTCCGTTCTGGGTGCTGGGGGTGACAGCCTCAGACCTGAGTCGTGACCTGAAACCCCTCCCCCTCCCTCAGGAAGCAGGTGGCTTAACAGAAATGCAGAGAGAAAAGACTTCCTCCCCATGTCCTGACCTCCCTGGTGCTGCCAAGGGGCTAGCTTGCCCCCAACCCCTCCCGCTCCCAGGCCCCGAACTCAGGCACCCACCAGATCCTGCCAGTTCTCGTTCCACCTCTCAGGCTTCCTTGCCTCCTTTTCCAGGCCCTTCTAAAAATGCTGTCAGGAATTCCCTGGTGGTCCAGTGGTTAGGACTCCATCCTTTCATTGCCGAGGATCCAGGACCTGGGTTTGATCACTGATTGGGGAAATAATATCCCACAAATCATGTGGCATGGCCAAAAATAAATAAATAGAAATAAAGATGCTGTCACCTTGAGCCTCCAAATGGTAACCATAACATGGTTCCTTCTATAACCTCTCTCATCCCTTGGTGAGATAAATCTTCCTTACAGGCTGGTGGCATCACAACACTTTTCTGTCCCAAACCCCAAAGCGTACAGTACTGCCTCTTGGGTACAATCCAATCTTCAGCCTTTCCCATGCAGTCCAAACTGTCTTCCCAACCTCATCACCACTCCAGCCAGGTCTGTCTGTCTTTCAAATAAGTCAGTCGTCCATCCACTCATTTGTTCATTTATATTTACCATGAACAGTGATTTATAGGGATGAAAATCATCTTTCATTTTGTGAAGGAGCAGGGACAGAGAGCAAGAAGGGATCCACATTTCCACTGACATGTGAGGTGGCCTCGGATTTTAAAAAATTTTTAAGTATTTATTGACTGAGAAGTTGTGTTTATTATATTGGTGGGTTTATAAAATAATTTATTTTAAAACTTTTTCAAAATAAGATTATTTAAAAAGATAAGGTACATTCAAGCAAATAGCAAACTTATTTATATCAATTAGTCCAGTATTTTAAAATGACAAAAGAAAAATACTCTTCTTGATACTTTCATCATTTTAATATTAATCCTGTACTTTGTGTCTAAGTACCACGCCCCTTGTATTTTTCTGGGGGGGAAAAAAGTGCATTACTTTCAATATGGGCTTATTACTTTTCATTTTTCATAAAATTGCCTGCAATCTTCTTTAAAGTTGTGTTTTAAAGTTAATAAATTTGATATTTTGGACACTTTTAATCGACCACAATATTTTTGGATGAGAATTTACCCTTTGTATAAGTGCCCGGCCAGCTTAGGAAAATTCTGCACATAATGGCTGTTCTAAATTCTGATATTACAATCTGCAACTCTTTGAGCTCTGAGTTGCTGCAGGAACACTTAGCAACTGGGAGGGGTGGAGCAGTGAGAGCCCAGCTGGGAGTAAAGTTTTCATTAGCGGCGGCGGGCGCTTGGACTGGGGCTTCCCCTCACAAGCTTTAGTTTCCCCCCTTTGTAAGGAGCAAGGATTCCACCCGGCTGCACCCAGCTGGCACCCAGCTGGCACCCAGCTGGCACGTGCGGCGAGGGTCTCGTGACAGTGGACACCGCAGGCGCCGCTCAGGGCTGACACGTGGAGGCGCTCAGGGGCCCGGCAGTCCCGCTACACGCAGGGGCGGCCTCCCCTGGACACTCGCGGCTGGCTCCGCCTCCGGCCTCGCAGGCCGCCCCGCCCACCGCATCCTGCCTGGGTCGGAGCTGCGGGGAGCCCGAGGTCCCGCTCAGCAGGCTGTGGCACGGAAGTCGCAATTCGCGTGTACAGGGTGTACCCCGTGCCCGGCACTGTTCTAAGCACTTTGCGTCAGTTAACAAATGGACTTCTGGCAGCTGCGTCTAGGATCCCTACAGTCATCGCCCCGCGAGGCCCAGAGGCTGAGTGGCCGAACCGGCTCCTCGGCTGGCAGGCTGCCTCCAGGGTTGTCCGTCTGTCCCTCTAGGTGCTCGCCCCACCCTTTTCCCGTGTCAGGAGGAGGGTGGCCCCTGCGTCCAATCCTGCCCCGCCCAGCGCCCTTGCCCACAGGCTGCCTTTCTGTGTTGGTCGGTGGAGCGGCCAGGAGAGATCAAAGGGAGGGAGGAGAGGGGGCTCTGTGTTAATTCCCCTGACACCCCCCCTGCCAAGTCACCCAGGCTGGCTGTGACCCTGGAAGGAAGGTCGCAGCCTCTGTCACGTAGCCCCTCGCACTGATTCTCTCCTTGATTCCGGGAAGTAGTCCGAGCGAGGAGCTTCACTGCTATGGGCCCAGCTGCTGTAGCACCCCCTCACCCAACCCCCTACCCTCTCACCCCTCACTGCTCTTCTTCCCGGTTTTGTTGTTCAGTCCCTCAGTCGTGGCTGACCCTTTGAACCCCCGTGAACTGCAGCATTCCAGGCTTCCCTGTCCTCCACCATATCCCCGAGTCTGCCCAAACTCATCACTGAGTCAGTGATGCCATCCAACCATCCTCCCCCTTTACATCTTTGTAAATAGTTCCTTTGTCAGTGAAGTGTTCGCCACCCTGTACTGCCTCTCAGCCATCCATCCTGCAAGGCTTCCCTTGTCTTGGGCCCTATCAATTTGCTTCCTCTTCTTCCTTTTTTTAAAAAAATGTTTATTTTTATTTATTTGGCTGCAGTGGGTTTTAGTTACAGCCTGCAGGATCTTTAACTGTGGCGTTGAAACTCTTAGTTGCGTGGTTGTAGGATCTAGTTCCCTGACCAGAGATGGAACCTGTGTTCCCAGCCATGGAAGCTCAGTCTTTAAACCACTGGCTGCCAAGGAAGTCCTTTCCTTCCTTATTTTTTTGAAAAGATTTCCATGGTTACAAAAGGAAGTGCAGTGAAGTCTCCCTTCCTCTCTTTCTTGAACACCCAGTTCTCCCCCAGGCAGCTCATGAAATGTTTGTTTTTTTTTAAATTGTAGTTAAAAATAATATAAAATTTTCCATTTTAATTATTTTTAAGCGTAAAGCTCTGCGGCATTAAGTGCATTCACGTTATCACCACCATCTTTCTTCAGAACTTTTTCATCCTCCCCATCTAAGACTCTGTTCCCACTGTCAGGAAGGAGAATAATTTTTTCCTCTACCCTTCTAGGTTCTGAGAGGTGTCTGAGACATCTCTTTCATGAAAGAGGGGTTAACAAGAGAAAAACAGATTTAATTTTATATTTCCAAGGGTCCCAAAAATATGAGACCCAAAGAAGTGACCAAAGTAGGCACAAAATCTCCAAAATGGGGGGATTTTTTTTTTTTTTCCTTGCTCTCAGAGGCACAGAGGAAGGTCAGAGTAGCTGGCCTTCTTGCACCGGCTACTTCTTAAGTAACTTTAATTCAAAATAACCAATACACCATAGTGTCATGTTTTGGGGTGGCCTGCCCTGAACCCCACCACCATTAAACACAAAATTCCTAAAATGATCTTCTGTGACTCCTTCTAGAGACGTTTTATGCATAGTCAAACAAATAATATAAATAAAACCACAAGTGGTAGCTTATTTTATGTACCATCTGCATCTTGCTTTTTTCACTTTTTCTTGAATATCATTTCACATCCATCCATAATGCAAGCTCTCATCCTTCTGCTCAGCTTTCCCTTGTTTGGATATTCCCATGAGCTTAGCCTTTCCCACACTGATGGAAAGCGAGGGTGTTTTCAATCTTTTGTGGTTTGTTCCTAACCTCCTGTTTCCTCTCCCGGTTCGTGACTTTGCATCTCTTGCTCTGCTTCCCCCACCAACCACCCCCGTGACTTCAGGGCCTTCCAGTCCTCTGGGCTCCCGACTTGCTGTCCCCTCTCAGGAGACTACCTGTCCTTCACCCCTGGCTCTGCAGTGACCCCAGCACATGTCTCCTGACCCAGTACTCTCCTGGTAGCCTGTGTATCAGATGTGACGTAAAGAAACTGGAGAGGGTGCCCATGGGTGGGGGTGCCTTCCTAACACAGGCTCCTGGAGAGCACCCACATTACACCTGCAGGGGTGGAGGCCTGACTTCTGTCAGTGTCTGCAGGGGCCAGGAACTCAGCACTAGGTTTCCAAACTTTATTTGCTCCTAGCTGAATTTGCTGACACCTACTTTGGGAGGTGAGGCTGCCATATAGCCTATTTGTCTTTCTGTCCACATCCTACACTATTTTTCCTGACCCTGCTACCACCATCCCCACCTTCTAATTAAAATAAAAATTTTAGTAAAAAGAGAAAGAAACTAGTAGAGAAATCTCTCCTCAAAAAAAAAAAAAAAAAGACTCAAGATTTATGCTAGATAGGTGGGGCAGGATCACTTACAATGAAAAATGCTCTTCACAAAATACCTCGAATAATAGTGTGTGTTTTATAAGCATCCATATGATACCCATGGGCCCCTCATTGCCCTGCAAGGTAAGTACTGTATTTTTCACCACTTTACTGATGAAGAAAGAGGTCCAGGAAGATCCAGGGACCATCCAGGAAGTGGACCATCCAGGAAGGTGGGTTGCCACGAATGCCTGCATTTCCCCCTGAGTCTGACCTTCAGCCCTAAGGCAAGCCTGTTGGTGGATGAATGGCGTTGCTCAGAGATGCTACTGAGGAGAGGATTCTAGAAAGACAGTACTGATGAACCTATTTGCAGGGGAGAAATGGAGATGCAGACCTAGAGAACAGATTTATGGACACAGCAAGAGAAGGAGAGGGTGGGCAAACTGAGAGAGTGGCATGGAAACCTACACATTACCGTATGTAAAACAGATAGCCAGTGGGAATTCTCTGTCTGATGCAGGGAGCTCAAACCAGGTACTCTGTGATAACCTAGAGGGGTGGGATGGAGGGGGAGGTAGGAGGGAGGTTCAAGAGGGAGGGGAAATATGTATACCTGTGGCTGGTTCATGTTGATGTATGGCAGAAACCAGTACAATATTGTAAAGCAATTATCCTCCAATAACTTAAAAAAAAAAAAAAGGCCTTGGAGGTAGTGGGCACTGAGGTGGGTAACGGACCAGCAAAATTAGATCAGGTTGGGGGCTGAGCTCATGGAGGATGCTGGAGGGGACAATTAGAAATGGCTGGAGGCCTGGAGACAGCTGAGGATGCGTTTGCACTATCCTGAGAGTTGGTGCTGCCCAAAAAAGTGAAAGAGGGGCAAGGAGAGGGGGTGCTGAGTGGGGAGGAGCCTCTTGTGTGCAGATGACTGGATTTTACAGCAATCACCACTTTTGGGAAATATGAGACCTTGTCCCTTTAGACCAGAAGGCTTAGAGGTGGAGCTTTGGTTTGGCTTGAGGCAAAGTACAGATGGCACCAGGGCTGTGGTAGTGATGGGTGAAAACCCTGTGAGGAATGATTTCAGTTGTGCTCAAATGAAGCTTCGTGTCTGGTACCTTCCCTGTGGCTCGGCCCCTGCGGCTCCCCATCCTGAGCAGCCCAGGTCTGAGGTCGTTCTACACTGTCCAGCTCCCTGGCCTGATGAAACCCCAACAGGGCAGGGAGGGAAGCTGGGGAGACAAATGAGCGAGGAGGGCCTATCTGCCGACAGAGTTCTCTGGAGAAAAGCTTTTCTCCTGGTTCCTTGGAGCTCCGCTGAGGAAAGCCTTGAGGAGAAGCCGGGGAGTTCGTTTGGGGGGGACACCCTAAGTACCCCCCTCACTGGGACTCCACCCATCCTGGCCTTCTTGGAGAGCTCCCAGGACAAAAACAGCCTAGCCTGTTACGACCAGTAGGTGATTCAGCGCCATGTACCTGACCAAGCGCCCAGACACGCGAGGCCCAAGGGGCTGGATGCCACCGAGGAGAGGCAGACAGGCCACGCCCCCACAAAGGGCTTCCGGGGAGGGGGACATTGCAGGCATACAGACCACAGAAGCCCCAGATGGTGTCAGCTGGGGGCCTGAGAGAGCCCAGGCCTGGGGCAGCCAGCGGGTGCGGCAGCACTTGTCAGGAGAGGCAGGGTTTAATACCCGTTTGCTTTCTTTCCTCCTGGCAGTTCATGATAAGCTTTGACCTTTCCTCTCTCTGGGAGCCACACACATGCACACACACTCACACACACACTCTCACACATTTCTGGCCATTCTCTGTGTGCACTGCTTCAGGGGAGGGAAGTGACACTATCAAAAGGAGAAAAAAGTATAAAAAGTCTTCCTGATCTCTGTGGTCCAGAATTCCAGCTCCTCAGAGGAATGGGAGACGCAGGAATCGACTTGGGGAACTGTTTGAGTAGGAATAGCAAGGCTTGTCAGCATCCTGGGCTTGGGAGCAGAGTCGGGGGTCTGTGAGATGTACATAGATTTCGGTGGGGCCCTGAGAAAGGGGTCCTGACCCAGTTTTCTGGGATGAGCCAAGAGGAGGCGGCAAAGGTCCAGGTTAGGAAGGGCCAAGTGGGGTGTCAGGCAGGTGGGCCCCTGGAGCCCTGGGGGCGACAGAGGAGTCCCGTGCACTCCACCTATACTGCAGGACTGGGGAGGAGCGCACAGCCTCGGAAGGACCTTGTGGACAAGAAGTAAGGGCAGGGAACTCCTCTGGATGCCAGATGGACAGTGGGCCTGGGGGAGCGAATGAGCTCAGGCCCCCTCCCACACCCTGAGTAAGCCCACCTGGACTCAGGATCCCCCAGGAACCTTGAGGGGATGAGGGAAGCAGCCAGTCTCTGGATTGCCAAGATCAAGTGTCTGCCACCTCAAGGGAGTGGGGACTGAAATGCAAAAATAAGGATGAGGTACAGAAATCAATCCTTGTCCACCCAAATGTGCGTATTGAAAATCTAACCTTTTATAAGACAGCAAATTTTTCCAGGTGCCTCAGTGGTAAAGAATCTGCCTGCCAATGCAGGAGATGCAAGAG